CACCAGGCAGTTCGCCACCAGGGAGCACCCCCGGGCAATTCGCCACCGGGCAGTTCGCCACCAGGCAGTTCGCCACCAGGGAGCATCACCAAGTAGTTCTCCCCCAGGGAGTTCGCCACCAAGTAGCTCATCACCAAGGCACGTCACCACCAGGTCAAACACGAGGTACTTAGCCAAAAAAATTTTGTACGTGACCAAAAACGGTTACATCAGAGCCAAATTTGGGATATGGTCATACATCCAGCTGAGAACGCAAGCAGTTTGAAGGATTAGATGGGTGAAGGTAGTGAATCAGCAAACAATCACAATTATTTTTTTTCTACTTTATTTATTTATTTTGATAAACTGGGAAGACTTACAAACCACGAGGGGAGAACCTTCCCCAAGCATAATTGATAAAGAATTACAATTATGCTTTCTGTAACACGGACTCTAATAGATGATAATGAAACCGATGACGAACATTTTAATACACTGTAGAAGACAGAGAACCATGGATTATCTGCTTAGGAGTTGATTGAAAAAACTGGTTTTTCAGACAAGAGTTTCCTTTTTTAGGTTCCAGTTATTACAAGACAAGGGCAAGACAACCAGGTCACCAAGGGAGTTTGAGAATTTCAGAACAACTGCATATTGTATGACTTGTATCAGTTGCAAGATGAACCACCACAAAGGAAAATGTCCTAAAATAGTTGCCATATATCAAGGTTGGAAATTTTTGCTAAGTATATCAAGGTTTTTGATACAGTTAATTGCTGCTGTGAGTCAGATCTGTGTGTAAAGGAAAAATGTGCAATCGCAGGTGACAAGGCATCACAGCCCATATACAACCAAACAACACGTCAACACCCACTCCACACCAACACTAATCAAACAGAAATCCACACCAACAGAAAGCGCTCAATAACAAAAAATAAAAATAAAAAGGAACAGTCAAGATCCCTAATTCCCAAACCCTACCATCACACAAACCCCAACAAAATAAACACTTATTTATAACCAAAAGCCACAAATCAACACTTAATTAAAGACCCAACATCCCTGAAACTTTTTCAAAAGAGAAACTACACCCCACCCACCATTTCTTTTTAACAAGATATTCAACAGATCCTATGGAAATATCTCCTAACCACCCAACAACTCCAATGGACTCCCACCCAGCTCCTTAACTATGTTACCCAGATACAGCAAGGACACGGCTGGAATAGTGTCGAATACAGAATTTACACTAAACAATTATGGAACCCTTGTACAGATATACAAGTATTATAGTTCCGTAAACAAACTCTCTCCCCCCTACTTGATGGATTCTGATTTATATGTAATATTTTTTTCATTCTCTCATTTTTTCTAATTCCAATTTTCTTGCATTTTCTCAACTCCTAGAAAGAAAAGTTCCAAATTCTTTCCCAAATCCCAACTCAACTTCTTTATCAACCACAATACTGATATACACTCTTATCTCTCTTGTGTACTTGATCAGTCATTAATGAATCAATTCCAGTCTCCTCCACAACCTCCCTAACCAAATTATACTCATCTTTAATACAATCCTTACTAACATTAAATGAAAATAAGGACAACATAGAGCCTTGGACCTTCTTCTTCTTGGTGGGGATTCTAAATTCAAAGAATAAAATAAATGCAATAACAAGGAGTTCTTTTTAGAAAGTAAAAATGTAGGAGAATAGCATGAACTAAAGAAGCAACTAAAAATAAGGATGCCCAGAGTAGGGAGATGTAGGTTGGTAACGTCGTATCAAAAAAGGATTTTTTCAAAAACAAAGGCTACAAAACTACCAGGAAGAAACAAAGAAAATAAAGAAAAAATAATCAAAGAAAATATATAAGCACTTTCTAATTAACAGTAATGAAAGAAAATAGGTCTAATGCACATAGTGCAAAACTTTTATGTCAGGTATATGATAACAAAATGAAATTAATTTGGAGACAAATGATGAGAATGTTAATGCTTACCTCCATGGGTCCAAAAAAAGGTGCTGCCATGAAATATCACATTTCAAACTGCACACAGATATTGTGCTGCAAAACCTAGCATTATCYGCCCTGGCGATTTATATGCTATGACAACATAAAATGCCTCTAATGGGATCATCTGAGTTATCATCTGGGCCATGAGAATAAAAATAATCCCAAGCATCAACTTGCTAGAATGTACTCTTGCACTTTCTGGAGAGATTCTTCAACGCACATCCAACATATTTGAGCATGGTGGTCTCTATTGTTTTTTGATCAATAGATGATGGTCTCTATTGTTGGGTCTGGCTTAATAATGATTGACACCAAAGAAATCTCTGATATGTTTAGTGTTTCAATGTCTCCATCAGAAGAAGGAACATGTAATTCCAGTTATCTGAAACTTGAAACATTTAGATCTTGAGCCATTTTTCCTATAAATAAAAAAGTACAAATTCTCATAGTTGCAGTTTAGCACAATTCATGAAAAAAGAATTGCAAATTTATATTAAACTCTCAAATCTGCATTTTCCGTTTTCACTAAGAAAGCTTCTTCCTGAATAGAACACTTTCTGCAACAAAATAATACCTTCAAGTTTCTGTACCTCTTCTAAGGTCAACTGCTAATATAAACATCAGGAAGCAGATGTGTAAAGATCCCATGCAACACATCATAGAGCGCTCAAACTGAGAAAACACCATAGTAGATAAAGATTTTCTCCAATCCTCATAACCCTTCCTTCACCAATCCAAGAGACTGCCTGCAGGGAAAGGTGGAAAGATTATATATAAGTAGAACCAATGAACAACATTCACAAATCAACTTGTTGTTAATGCAAATAACTGACTGACAGATTGTTCTGAATCATAAGAACCAATAAGACAATTTCTCCACCACCCTGAGGTGGAAATCCACAATTCTCAATTTTCACTTCCAATCCATTCAAAGGAAACCTACAGCGCTTATGTACATGTGACGTAGTTGATTGGAAAGTATCCACAGAGGAATCATTTGTAATTCTTGTAAGCAAAACCATGAACTTTTCTTTAAACTAATCTTTTTGAAGAGATTAACACGCAATGACGCAACAACAAAATGGGGCATAATAATTCCATATAACGGAGGTCTGGGTTTTCGTAGGATGAATTCATGAATAAGTACCTCTTTGTGAAACACATTTGGAGGCTTCTTAAATGACCCAGAAGCACTGTGGGTTAGGGTCGTTAAATCAAAACATCTATAGAATCATTCTTTATTTTACCTAAAAATTTCAAGTAGCGCCTCCTTGTGGTGGAAACAAGTGGTGAGTATTGCTAGGGAATTAAAAGCCAATTTCATTTAGCAACCATAAAAGGGGGAGTCGGTATTAATTGGGAAGGATCCTTGGGTTCCCTTAATAAATGGCGGTATACCATCATTTAGAGAAGGAGTTCATCAAGAGCAATCTGATCTGAGAGCTTCCAACCTATTAAACTCTGCAGGTATGTGGAATAATGTTATGCTGCATTCCCCTTTTGATGAGAAAGTAGCTGATAAAATAAAGCAGCTGATGTTCAACAGGATGTTGGATAGGGATCAACTGCTCTGGAGGAGATCTAGTTCTTTTGTATACTCAGTCAAGTCTGCTTATAAGACCTTCCTCAGGTCTTTTCCAAGTATCTCAACCCAAATAATAAGGTGGCAAGCTATCTGGAAAGCCAGAATTCCACACACATTTCAAATTTTCATCTATAAGGCTTACTGGGATGGAATTCCTATAAAAGAAAAAAACCCAAGTTTTTTTAAAAGGAGATATAATTTCTAGACTCTGCAATTCAGGACTTAAAGCATTACTTCATTTATTTTTCCACTATTCCTTTTCCTGAGCTATTTGGATGCAACTTCATGTTGGTCTAAATCCATATAGAATTGAAAATAAAATGAATGTCATATTAGAGGACTGGCAGGAGAATTCATTAGCCCACACTGACAAATCCGTCTGCTTGGATCTTCTCAGCAAAGCTATAACTGCTGTCAGGTTAATACTGGGGTGCTCGCAACAGGAAGTTGCATGGCAATGTAAAAGCAGACCCAAGGAAACTTGTCTTCTTTTTTTTATCGACAGTTACCTCTTGACATATGCTTCTCAAAATGGGGAAAAAAAAAACAATTTTCCGTGCAGAATGCCCCACGAATCTACAAAAGGTTGGTTTCAGTTTTTATATTGATGGTTCCTTTATGGCTCAACTGAACAGAGCAGCTACAGGTTTTGTTCTTATAAACAAACATGGCGGAGTGACAGCAGCAATAGGTCAACTTTGCAAAGCTCTTGGACAAGCTGAAGCTGAGTGGGATGCTCTTATTTTGGGTCTGGAAGAGAATTAAAAAGGAAAATATCAGATAGTTTTTTGTGATGCAGAAAGACTACCTCGGCTAATTGAGATAGCTCATGGTCTAGCTTATAAGAAGGGAAAGGAATGCAGAACCTTCAACTTCAGTTATTAGGCTCAGGCTTGGATGTAAACAAAGAAACACCCGTACGAAACGAGTGCTGATTGGGAAGAAATTTGTGAGAAGAAACAAATGCATGCCAAACAAAAACCAAGTTGAAATATCAATAACAGAAATATAGAATAACTCGAACCTTTGAGCCTAATCGAAGAGGCTTCTTTCCGAACAATCCAAGCACTATTAACGGCTACAATAAATACCCGGAACTCTAAGAAAAAAGTTCTCCCTGTCCAGAATGCTTACCGGTTCCGCTGATCTCTACAACACCTTCATCGCTGATCTTCTCGATCAACCGAAGGAATGAGATCCCGTAAGAACGCATGCCATGCCGTATTGCCGTGTATCGTCGGGTCGAATGTCATCGACGATGACCGGGATGCATAACAGAGAGAGAAGGTGCCTAATCGCCGGCTCTTCTTTAGCCACATATACGACGCTTTCACCATCTCCCTCTCTGAGTCGATTCCCGGGATCTTATGTGTTCGACTTCCTAGTTTTCCGCGGTTAGCCCTCGTTGATATCCGAAGTAAAGTAGCTGAACGGTGAAAATTGAAAAAAGAAAAGGGAAATTTTCTGATCGGTACCTGTAATTTGGGGTTGTGTCGAGTCAGTCCCTTATTTTTAAAACGTGTCGTTTATAATACCCTTAATTTTCAAATTATGCCTAATATATCTTTGWCTTAGTTGACTATCATTCAACAGTGCCAATATTAAGTCTGCATTAAATAATTTCAAAATAACAAAATTATTTTTATGATATTTTTTAACCATTTTATTCATTTTGTCTGAATAGGAAAGGAGAATAAGGGTAATGAAACTGAACACCATCTAAGTGCGGGAACTGAACATTAACGAACGTAATGATTCTTCGCCACAATCGCCACGTCTGAGTGTTCCTCTGCCTTGAAACATTGTTCTTAGAATTAGATAAAGAAAGAAATAAGATAAACTAAAGATTAATGGAACCAAAGAAAATAAATAAAGTAAACCCACAAAGATAAACCATCAAACGCTGAAGAGGAACTAAACGCACCAATTGAATAAGCCATGAAAACTAAATGCACCAATTGAAGAACCCATGGAAACTCTTTCTGACAATAGAGTCAATCCTATAAAATTCCCTAAAAACCTAAAATAGTATTTCTTAGAATCAGATAAGAAAAGAACGAAAATAAAATATAATTGAGGGCATTCTATTTTCAAACGCCATGGTGTTAAACGCAAATGGGTGTTACTTTGGGTTATTTCAGATTAGTTTCCAACCCAAGGTTTCAAACGCTGGTGGACATTAATTCCGATGCTGGTTAACAGTGAGATAGGGTTAAGGTTGTTCTGCAAACAAAGGATTTAGGGGAAAGTTAGGGTTTCGATCGCCAAAGTTCCGGTGCGAATTAACGACAAGTTAGGATTTGGGCTGTTATGCAAAGAAGGATTCGGGAGTCCATTGTTCTAGGGGATCTCTTCCATGACGAGTTAAAAGATGTTGGTTGGAGTCAATGATTACCAGATGAGAGAGGAGAGGGGCTAAGAGCAGGAAAAAAGTGATAAACACAAATAGAAAYAAGAATCCAGTTGCAACCTATGGATCTAGGACTTTCCGATGAGGAGAGKAAGGGAGGGAGAGAGAAAGTTTTTTTCCGGAAAAGAGAGAGGGGTAGGGAGTGGGGAAGCAGGAAGAGAAACTAGAGTGAGAAAGGGGGTAGAGGAGGTTTCCTATCACGTGCATAAACAATGAATATTCTCACATGCATACTTTATGACTCACTCGTGGGGATGTCGTTTACTTAAAAGCTGGTGCTGCCATGAATCACCATTTCCTAATAATATATATAATATTATTTTTAATTTCAAAATTAATAAACGTTAATGACAATAAGATTTTAAACAATTGTCAAAAGATTTACGGGTATTTTAAAACAACATGTAGTTAGTTAATTAACTACACCTATAAGGGTAAAAGAGTACGGATTTGTCCAGATTTACATTGCAGGACTATAAACATTCAAATGGACTGATACTAATCCGACCGTACATTAAACTTTGCATCAATTCTGACACTAGGGGTATTCGTCATTCTCCCTTGCCAAAATACAAGAAAGATAAACGGGAGGGAGATGCAAAAAAGTCTTTGATGAAGGGTTTTTTTTTGGCAGCATCATATTGTTCGGACTACTTCCAGGTGGTCGATGATTCAGAAGCCGAAGTAGAAGGTTTTTGCTGGATGAGAACTTTGATACCGAGCTGGGGGTAGATTGTGTGTCGAGTTAGGTTGATTATTGAACTGGGTAGCTCTTTAGATAAACTTGCAAGGAATCAATGTTAGAGGACCCCGGGGTGGCTAATCCGGTGAGGTCACTCCAATTATTAAGTTAGTATTCTCGTAGTAGATCGCGAGCTAAAAAATCATAGCGTATGAGAGCTATAATGTGTTTATTCGCTTCCTCCTATGTCATTGGGGTTTGTGCCTTTATATAGGCATTGTTTAGTTTGGGCCTCACGCATCGCATCCGACATTTTTGAGAGGTCGTGCCTAACCGGTATGAGATTCTCAGAAGTAACCACCATGCACGTTGACCATCCCTTGGAACATTCGATACGTGGGCCAACTTTTGAGAAACCTGGGAGCATTGGGATATGCATGCTGAACTTGTCAGCGAGCACATATCACAAGTCACCACCTGTCCCCAGTCAGGTTGATAAGCCCTTGAGGGAGGTATTTCCTCGCGTCGAGGTCACTTCGKCCAGTGATGATATGCTACAGACTGACCCTGGATGAGGTGCTACAAGTCAACCTAAGTTGTGGTCAAGGTCGCTACGTTGATGTAAAGGCAGGTCGCCAAGCCGGTGGTGAAGGTAAGTCGCCAAGCCGGTGGTGAAGATAGGTCGCTAAGTCGGCGGTAAAAGCAAGTCGCCAAGTCGGAGTAAAGACGAGCCTCAATCTGAGACTCCAAATCATCACTTAGGTGGTATCTAAGCATCATCTAGCTATTTTGAGATATCATGTGTGAGAATGTCGAGGGCCAAATCCGCCCTCATCACTATTCGTGGCGGAAATGCTCGCTCCTCCGTTGCGCGGATCTCCAATTCCAAATACACGGCGATTGTGTACGGTGGGCAGGGATGTGTGAAGAGGTTGTGGGTAGGAGATCACGACTCTTTGTTATTGCAATCCAACCGTGCTTGGCTCTTCGCCTCTTCCTTCCCGCTTTTCCTTCCTTTGTAAAGTCTCCTCTCTTTCCACTGGGTTTGCTACCCTCTAACAATACTCATCTAGGCCTCTAACAATACTTGTAAAAGAGGAAAAGTTGATTGAATTTGGCACTATAACTACATACAAGCAAGAGATTGAGGGAACTTGGAAGGATGGCATACTCAGGTATGGCCGGTGCACCAGGACTAGTAGGGATGTCGACGCCGGCAACGTCAACAACAACCAGGCAGGTGAAGCTGGACAAAGAGAGCGAACTTAGGATCGAAGTCGGTATGGAAATTCCTCTCCGCCTCCGCCTCCTCACTGGCACTGCTGAAATTTTTGGCACTGAACTTCCTCCTGAAATTTGGCTCTCTTTCCCTCCAAGACACAAGTTCGCGGTAAGTAATCCCAGATCATGTTTTCTTGCTGTCCCATTGTCTCTCTTGAAAGCAACCGGTAATCAGCGATGTCATTTGGTGACTGAATATGCTTTAATTTTATGAAAAGAAAGTGTTATAATCCGCATTTTCATAAATCCCTTTCAAGATATTGCAAATAATGTCAATACAGTCCTCGATAGCTGACTATGGTTCAGAATGGAAAGTGCTGAATTGTGTTTGTTGCTCAGAAAGATGAGAATGTGGGAAGCCTCGCTGAACATATGCACTCTCGCTCTCTCACTCTCTGCTTTTAACCCTGACGATTTGACTTTAAGGATTGTTATACTTACAGATCACTCTTCTAGTACTGGGCGACAACTGTTTCCGTTAACTTACCTTTTCTTTTAATCTTCATTTTCTCAACATTGAATATGGAGCGGGTTTAAACCAAAAACTCTTTTTTTTTTTTTTTGGTTTAAACCAAAAACTAGGGTTACGTTCTTGTCGATAATATTAAAGCTATTCTTTTGTTGGAATTTTTTAATGCACACTATATATTATCTATGGCTAACTTTACATTCGAAAAGGGCATTTCTGATTTTGCCTTTCATATACAAATTCATAGATGACATTTTAGGCGAATAAGCGAATGTAAAAATAACATCTTAGCTGCATGAGGTACGATCCTAGAGGAATTTTTTGAATCACAATTAAATCTTTAGGTTAAACTTTATTATGGCGAGAAAAAGAAAAGAGGAAGAATGACAAAAAATAGGTGATCGTTTTCTTATTCAATGTAGAAGTTTTTATTTTATTATTATTATTATTTTTTTATTTTATCGGTTCAATATAGAAGGACTTTATATTATCCAACTCTCCAATCATGCTCATTTTGCTAGGTAGCTAGTGTTGTTTTGTTCTAATGCCCCACCCCGGGTAAAGAGTTTTCTTTTTATTGTTTTGAGGGCAAAGAATATCTATACTACTATTACAAGCAATAATCCTTATAATTAGCTTTCTTTACCCTACCGTCCATGTTTTAAACCTCCTCAACAGGATTCTCATTAATCCAAAATGTTTCTTATAAAAGATGTTTTCCAATAGAGTTATCAGTTATGTAATATAGCTTTACAGTTATAAAAGATGTTTTCCAATAGAGTTATCAGTTATGTAATAGAGTTATCCAAAATGTTTCTAATGCCTCCCTCATGCCCCCCAAAGCCGCTTCAATCTCATTTAAGAGTATTGAGCTAGGGGTCAACACCTATGGTAATCAGTGTTTTCAATCCATTGTTGACCTGGCTGGTTGGACTGAAGACCCAGTTACAATCCCGATTCAGGTCAACATTTAACCTGCAAAGTTACATCATATCGACCCCGATGGTTGAACCGTCGACCCATCTGACCCATTAGCGGGTTACTGTTTTTATGCATTATTTTTTTGAATTTCTTTTTTATATTGATGGCATCACGAGTTGATCTGTTGATGGTTGAATTGCTGGCTATTGACCGGAGAAAAAATGGTTCAACCTCCAGGTTAGGTTTTAAAGCAYTGTTGGTAATATCAGTGATGCCTTTCTATTAGGGCTGTTCATAAGAAGGCCCAACCCGACCAACCCAGACCGACCCAACCCGAGTCGGCCGGGTTTTCATTAGCATCRATCGGTTTCGGGTTGTACAAATTCATAAACCGATGGTTCGGGTCGGTTCCGGTTTTCTTGTGTGAAAACCGAAGCCGACCCGACCCGACCTAGTTYCTACTTAACTAATTTGCCTCTATCATAATTCCTAATTACAACCTAACCTAGTCTTCTAGTTCCTACTTGGATAGGCAATGGAGTTGTCTTTCTATGGTTCTCACTTTGACTTCTTCCCACTTGGATAGGCAACCCAAACTTGCACCACACAGGCACATGGGCCATGGGGGGCATGGATGAACTTAGAGCTGAAACCGACCCAACCCGACCCAACCCGATTCAAACCGACCAGGTCGGTTTTTCTTAGACTGGGTCGGTTTCGGTTTCCATCTCAGGTAACCCGACCAGGTCGGGTCGGTTGGAAAAATCCCAGTAAACTGACCCAACCCGACCCGTGAACAGCCCTACTTTCTATATAGTCTATGGTCCCCAGGAATTCTCCACAACTGTAACCTACTTGTCAGAGAACCATCTTGGTTACATGGACATGGACTGAGTTGGAAACATGGAATCTACCGCGCATCCAAGAGTTTGACTTGGCAAGATGAGAAATAATAGATTCATGGACATGTATATGGAAAAGTATATACTATTAAAAGAGTTCATATATATATATATATCATTCTAGCAAAGTATACCTGCAAAACTGGTCTTAAATGTTGCCTTTGTTACCAAGTAATGTTTTGCATGAAAATGGCTTTTATCTTGTACATTTGCTGTTCATTATGTCAAATAACCTAGGTGATAAAAAGAAAATGTTATATAGAAGTGTTCTCAAGAATATGTGGAGTATTGAACTCTGATGTGTGTCTGAGATGGACACATCATCCATTTAGGAGAGTCTGTGCAACACTGCTTCATCAATATCAGTCTGCATGCATAGACCAACTAAATTGAATGTCCCATTTCTCAGATCATTTGGGCTGGGTGAATAATTTTGGATTACTAATTTTCCCTGGTTAATGGTTATAGATGTCCACTTATTCAGTTTATTGATTTGGCTGATTCTTGAGTACCTCTTCTTTTCCTTTTATTTTTTCCCTGATCTGCAGATGGTAAATAAATGTACAGTTATCCATATTCCCAAGTTCTTCTTTTCTTTTTCCCTGCACCAAAGTGTTGCTTGTCCAATATGTGTTCCTACATCATAACTTTTTAAGAGGTTTCTTTTTCTGCATCTTCAACTTGCAGGCTCATTCTGGGCTCATTGAACCATTGAAGTCTTCTGAGCACACTGTCCAACTAAGTTGATCTATGCTTCCTTTTGTTGTGGTGCTAGAAAATTTGGTTAACTGTACTTTGTACAATAACCAGTACAAAGCAATGCTTTAGGCGCTGAACCTTCATTATGAGTTTGATATTATATCTTACTTCTTGTTGATGTGAGTTTAACCGTCAAATATCTTGTACCAGGTTTTTACTTGGTATGGTGCCACAATCGAAATGGACGGGATTACTGAAACTGATTACACTGCAGATGAGGTATGTTCTAAATGTTCTTAAGTCTTCTAGGAATTGGTGTTAGGCTTTTGCTTCAAAACTGGTAAGTTATCAAGTGAAAAAGGGTTGCTTTTTTATGATGAATAATTTTCCAATAATCTTTGATTTAGACACCTATGGTGAGCTATGTAAATGTTCATGCTGTACTGGAGGGGAGAAGAAATCATGCTAAAGCATCTTCATCCACCGATCCTGATTCTTCTCAGGTATCATTGTATGTTTGTCTTTAATAATTCTGCTATCAAGTTTTTCTATCACCATACAGATTACCAACCACTGAAGGTGTTGTGGAAAACAAAGGARACGTTTTGATCATTATGGTTGGTATATTTTTTTGGGACTATCAATTCATGCTTCAAAGCTGATTCTTTGGAGTGACCACATGTTAATTTTTGGGCCTTCTCCTAGCATTTGCAGCCAATGATTTTTGTTTTTTTTTTTCCATTTTTTTGGAGGGGGGAGTATGAGATATAAAATTCCCATAAAAGAGGACTTTTTGCCATGTGATGGGAGGCTATAGGGGGTTGAGCCACATTTAGGGAGGGTGATGCTGCACAGAACCCTTCTGAGATGCTACCTTATCTGCCCTGATTAAGTTTCTAATAATCCAATCTCTTTTCTGCAGAATGAGCAAATCTGTTCCTGCATTGTGTTTCGACAAATACACACACACACACATATATATATATATATTGTTTGCTTGTGTTTTTGGTTTTTGTGTCTCAAAGTTGTAATGCTTTTAGTGATACAGGGCCCCAGGGTGATAGTTGTAGGACCTACAGATTCTGGAAAGAGTACATTGTCAAAGATGCTTCTTAGCTGGGCAGCTAAGCAGGGTTGGAAACCTACTTTTGTGGATTTAGATATTGGTCAGGGATCTATAACCATTCCTGGTTGTATTGCTGCAACTCCAATTGAAATGCCAATAGATCCAGTAGAAGGAATTCCTCTTGAAATGCCCCTTGTTTACTTTTTCGGGCACACAACACCCAGGTAACACTTATGCATACTAATTTAGGAAAAAAATTTCTTGATCAATCACTGCAGTTATAGATTAGCTACTCCTTTATTTGGTTTTTTGCATGCTTAAACACTATTTTCTGCAACCTGAAATGTATAGTGTTTTATCCAATTCTGAACTGTTTGAAAGTGTTACTTCACAGTTTAAATGTAGATTTGTACAAAGTGCTTGTCAAGGAGCTTTCTCAGATCCTAGAGAGACAATTTGCTGGCAATGCTGAATCTCGAGCTGCAGGCATGGTGATAAATACCATGGGATGGATAGAAGGTGTTGGTTATGAGGTATTTGTTCTTTTATCAATGCCATGTGATAAATGTCAGACATTTAGTTTGTCAATACCATGTTTCAGATGTTTTAATGTTCTTTTCTGCATTTGTGTTTTGATTACAGTTGCTTCTTCATGCGATTGATACATTAAATGCCAATGTAGTTTTGGTTTTGGGTCAGGTAATTCATTTTACAGTAATTTTTGTAAATCATTCAAATGCCAAGGCACCACTCCCATTGAATTATCTTTGATTTCATCGGTTAAAGTTGTTGGGGTTCTATGCTTGAGTCTTATAGTCCGTGAGTCCATGTAGAATTTGAATGTATATCATGCATGTGATGGTCCATACCTAGTATTTGATGCACCTCCTTGTAGTTCTCCTGCTCCTGGGTCAAAATCAACAAAGATGAATCAACAGTGGTACCTCATCACTATAATTTTCTGATTAGCCCTTTTCAGATGCTTCAATATAATAATTAACAAATGGATAAAAAAACCGGGTTGATCTCTGGGTTGGTTTTGAAGCATTGGTTCTACCTGAGGTGGAAAAAATTTTTTTACTGGTTTGAATGATTGGTTAACAATGACTTGGAATCAGAGAAAGTGTCAATTTAAGCAAGCTGGTTGGTTTGTCAAAGATTGGCACCCTAGCAATAGGGCTGTCAGCAAGCTGAGTTTTTTCTCAGGTGTGCTTGATCTTGGTTCAGGCTTATGGCAATCCTAAGGTGTTCGGGCTTGTACTAAATTCTGTTATGCTCTTTAAAATGTGGTTTATGTAGGCAGTAGAAATCTGCGGAAATTAAAATTTGTAGAAAAAGATGAAGAAAAGAAGAGATTTTGTGAGAAGAGAGAAAGAATAGAGAAAAGAATGAGAGTGTTATGGGCCCGGGGATAGGATCTCGTCACGGGTCGGTCCACGGGGAAAAGCTCCTGTTTTCCCTTGTTCCTCCCCTTCCTAACTGAACCTATCTTGGCGTCCTAAAGGGTGATTTGTCCAAGAGATCACCGAACTCTCCTTTTACTCTCTTTCTTGACTGGAAATTTGATATATTTATTCACCTATTTCAGCTCCTTAAATAGGTGATTACAAGAGGTAAGAGTCCTCCTTGTAGGAAGACTCCTTGATAACTAAACTGTTTACAGATAAGATAGATAAGACTCCTAGATAAGACTGTTAGGATAAGATAAGTTTCTCCTAATCCCAATCTGATAAGATAAGTAAGATAAGTCTCTCCTAATCTGATAAGATAAGATAAACTAATCCTAATCTGATAACTTACTAAAAAGATAAGATAAGAGCAATAGAATAAGATAAGAACAAGCAAGATGATCTAATCTAATCTGGCGGTGGGTCAGGTTCCTGTTGCTGCTGGCGGCGATGGTACGTCTTTCCGAGGAATGCGTCCATAACATTACTCCCCTCTTGGACTACGAGCTTGTCCTCAAGCTCGAATTCTGGATATGTGGCCTGGAACTCTGTCAATGGGATCCATGTGGCTTCGGTCGATGGCAAGCTACACCATTTCACCAAGACTTCAAGAACTCCACGATTGAAACGAGAGCGGATGACAACTTTAGGTTGGGAAATCAGTTTGCCATCTTGTAGGGGTGGCAGGGAGGGGACTTGGTCCGGAGGAACACCCGTAAATGGTTTCATCAAGGAGATGTGGAAGACATCATGAATCCAGCTGGTCTCTGGCAGTTCCAGCTGGTAGGCCACATTGCCAATCCGTCGTAGAACCTTGAAGGGCCCATAGRACTTAGGGGCCAGTTTCGGGGCAATGATACTGGGACTAGTAATAGCTGCTCGGAGAAGCTGCTGTTGCTGTTGTTGATCATGTTGTTGCTTCTGCTGCTGCAGTTGTTGCTGTTGTTGGTTGTTTGGCTGCTATGGCTGAGGGTGTTGCTGCTGCTGTGGACCAAGGAGAGTCTGCTGTTTTCCAGACGGCTCCGTCAGGTCTGGTCGGAGGCTGTTTGTGGTTATAGCCCCTTCTGGATTCCTCTCCTTGTTAGAGAAATACGATTCCAGCAAGCGTCGCAGCTCCCGGACATCGTCTTTGACCTCACGAACCTCCACACTGGTTTCCACGAGCCTATGCTCTAGTTCGTGGACCCTGGACGATAGCTGCTCCAGATCTCCCATGACGGTAGGCTCTGATACCAGTATGTTATGGGCCCGGGGATAGGATCTCGTCATGGGTCGGTCCACGGGGAAAAGCTCCTGTTTTCCCTTGTTCCTCCCCTTCCTAACTGAACCTATATTGGCGTCCTAAAGGGTGATTTGTCCAAGAGATCACCGAACTCTCCTTTTACTCTCTTTCTTGACTGGAAATTTTATATATTTATTCACCTATTTCAGCTCCTTAAATAGGTGATTACAAGAGGTAAGAGTCCTCCTTGTAGGAAGACTCCTTGATAACTAAACTGCTTACAGATAAGATAGATAAGACTCCTAGATAAGACTGTTAGGATAAGATAAGTTTCTCCTAATCCTAATCTGATAAGATAAGTAAGATAAGTCTCTCCTAATCTGATAAGATAAGATAAACTAATCATAATCTGATAACTTACTAACAAGATAAGATAAGAGCAATAGAATAAGATAAGAACAAGCAAGATGGTCTAATCTAATCTGGCGGTGGGTCAGGTTCCTGTTGTTGCCGGCGGCGATGGTACGTCTTTCCAAGGAATGCGTCCATAACAGAGAGAGCAATCAAATCTGGCCGCCCTCTCCCATTGGTATTTATACTTTAAGTAAAAGATAAGTACAATGACTAATATGCCCTTATAGGGTGGCTAACACATAAAACTGCATAAAAAACTTGAAAACATCACTCCAAAGGGTCCTAACAAGAGTGTTGTGGTCCCCACTTCCTATCTAAACAAATGATAAACAAAAACAACTACTAAATCTGCACAAAATCCTTAACACTCCCCTCAAGTTGGGAGTAAATGTCACACATTCCCAACTTGCATAGGTTGTGCTGAACTTGATTGTGGGCAATATTGATTGCAGCTTGGTTGTCACAATATAACACCATGGGCTCCTTTGCATCTATCCCAATCTCACTTAGCAAGGATCCAACCCAAAGTAATTCTGAAACACCATGGGCCATAGATCTATATTCGGCCTTTGCACTTGACCTAGCCATCGCTGATTGCTTTTCATTCTTCCATGAAACTAGATTTCCTCCTACAAAGGTGCATATCCCTCATGTGAATCTCCTGTCATCTAGACAATCTGCTTAATTTGCATTTTTATAGGACTCCAATTTCAAATTCTCATGATCTGAGAATAGAATTCCTCTGCCCGGATGCTTCTTCATGTATGCAAGTATCCGATCAATGGCTTCCCATTGCTGAACCCGAGGAGCATGCATATATTGACCAACAACACTAACAACATAGTAAATGTCTGGGCGTGTCATACATAAATATAGTAGCTGGCCTACCATCCTTTGATATCTCCCAACATCCTTAACCAATTCACCATCCAAAGCATTAATCCTGTGGTTCAGGTCAATAGGAGTATCGGTTAGTTTCACTCCTAGCTTCCCAGTTTCTTGCAATAGGTCCACTACATACTTCCTCTAAGAGATGAATATTCCRTGCTTGGATTTTGCAACTTCAATCCCCCAAAAATATTTTAGTTCACTTAAATCTTTAATTTCAAATTCCTGTTGTAGTGACTTATTGAGTGCATCAATCTCCCTAAGATTATTCTCTGTAACAACTATATCATCCATATACACAATTAGTATTGACACAAGTGCTTCTTTCCTCTCCTTTTCACAAAGAGAGTGTGATCTGACCGGATTTGTGTGTATATCCAAAACAGATCAATGCCCCCCTGAACTTGTCAAACCTTGCCTTAGGTGATTGTTTTAAACCATATAATGACTTTTTTAGCTTGCAAACTTTTCCCTTACTAGCATTCTCATAGAAGTTGAAAGAGCGGCCATGAATACATAGCTTCTAGAGACAAGAGTATCCGAACTGAGCTTATCTTAGCTATTGGTGCAAAGGTCTTTAGATAATCTATACCATAGGTTTGTGTATATCCTTTTGTAACTAACATTGCCTTGTACTTCTATATGCTGCCATTAACCTTGTACTTCATAATGAACACCCATCTACATCTAACTGTCTCTTCTTTTATAGGAAGATCAACTATCTCTCATGTTTGGTTCTTAATCAAATTCTCCATTTCTTCTATCATAGTTGTTCTCCACTTAGGTTTAGAGAAAGCTTCACTAACATTTTTGGGTATAGACACATAATCTAGGGAAGAAAGGAAGACACAGTAGAAAGGTGATAAGGCACTATAAGAGAGATGGGGTGAAATGCAATGGGCTATACACTTTTTCTTTCCCTTGCAGAGTGCAATGGGAAGATCGAGATCAACTGTAACATTTGTCTAAGGTATAGAAGCATCATCAATGGGATCGGAGGCAATAATAAGCTCAAGGGAAAAACCTGGCACTGTATCAATCGAACTTGGAATCTCAGATGGATCGACTACGAGTGGTGCGGGTTCTTCCATTGGAGCATGTGTGGACTCAACCCTCTTGCGCTAGCACTGAAAGAACTCTGAGGCAGGCTGTGGGAATGGAGTTGATGGTGGAGCAGCAGGTGAATTGTAGGAGCTGATGAACCAGATGAAGGAACAAGAAGAGGAACAGGTTGTGAGCTCTCCTCCCCAAAACACTCCCCCTGAGGAGAACCACTAGAGAAAAAGAATGCAAACTCAAAGAAGGTAACATCCATACTGACAAACCTGTTCCTTAACACCGGATCATAACAACAATATCCCTTCTAGTTTTGAACATACTCGAAAAAAAAAAAAAACATTACTTGGCTTTAGGATCCCACTTCCTACAATGAGGAATAAGAATGTGAGCAAAACAAACACATTTAAAAACTTTCAAAGGTATATAAAAGATCTCCCCATCTAGAAAAAGAAGATTGAATGGCACCTTAAACCTTGGGATGTGAGAAGCTACCCGGTTAATTGGGTACACAGTCGCGAGAATTACATCCCCCCAAAAACAAACTAGAATTGAAGCACACACCATAAGTTCTTGCCACCTCCATAATGTGTCTATTTTTCCTCTTTGCTAACCCATTCTACTATGGTGTATAAGCACAACTATTGAATGGCCTCATGCTCTAAAAAATA